GCCATCATCTTGTTTTTCTGACTGATCGGACGAGGGGTCTGTTTTTGTGTCGCCTCCCCATATAATGAGAACGCTGCTAACGATTGCACTAGCATGACCAACTCGCGGCGAGGGTATTTCTCCGGCTGTCTGCACGAGTGTCGCAGAAAGATCGCGCGTAGAGAAAAGATATAAATCATTGCGGGCGGTTTCGCGAACGAGACCACCAAAAAGGTACAACTCTCCCGAAGCAGTGGCTGTCGCCGGAAGTGCATGACCATAGCGAGGGAATGGTGAAGGTGAAGGTGAATTTGGTGCGGGCACGCCAGGTTTCGGGATTACGAGTGGGGGCGGGAGGAGTAAGCGCCGTGCAGACCAGGGATAAGCTGGCCGTTGTTGAGGTTGCTGGGATGCTTGAGGTGGTTGCTGCTGTGACTGGGATGGCTGTTGCGGTATAATGGGGCTGGTTCCACGAGCTTGTTGACGTTGAGCGGGGGCTGCTACAAGGCCATTTGCGGTATTTGAACTGGAGCTGGGATGAAGAAAATGATGAACGGCTGTGGGAGAAGAAAAGTTGAATATGAAGGACTCACGAATCATTGTCACGTAGGTGTTGAAGCTGAACGGCATTGTCCTTTGCAGCCAGCTGCGCGAGAGCTTGGCTTGGAGTCTGAGCTACTGTTACGGATGAAGCAGCGAGCTGACTTGCACTAGGCTGCTTCTTCCTTGAGAAGAATGACATTCTTCGTGCTCTGTTTACTAGGATGGACGGTATGGTTGGCTAATAAATTTTGTTTGAAGAATTAAGAGTGAGTATGTGAAAAGGACGAAATGCTATGACAATTTGTTGTCGTTGTAGAGAACAGGCTTGTCTGGTGGTATAAGCACAGTGCTTAGTTTCTGTATTAGGTTTACAACTATTTGCTTTTCATCCAAGTACTCAGCTAGTCTCTTAACCTAGCTAATAAATCTGAACATCATGAACATCATTCAACAATCTCCGGTCTCCTTCGCAACCAACGCTGTCTAGTTATGCGGCGGCTCTCAAAGTAACCTCTCCTTTGGTAATCAAACAGGAAACCCGTCTCACATTTTCCCCACACTCAGCCGTCTTCGGCAGATAGGTCACACTGCATGGTCCATTGCAAGACTTAACGCCCAGCTAACGTATCTCCATTCGTACAAAAAGGTCGGCTTCTTACTTTATTCATCCTACGCTTTCAGGAAGTTAGCATGGACTAACAACTCTTCGCATCAGTATTGACACATTCTAGAAACCAGATAGAAACTCACAGTGAATATGGTCTGATGCAAATGTCGATATCTGTACATCATGATTCCGTTGTCAGTACATCACCCCATCATCCAAAAGCAGAGACCCACGAAGTAGTAGCTATGATCGTACCCTTCCTGTTTCCTTACTCGTACCTGTACCTCATCATGCCCAGCCACACGCGCAGCCTCGAGGAACTTATCCGGATGCAGTTGGTACAGGAAATTATCCGCGGTACCCTGTTACTACATCAGCCCCATCTAATATAAGGGCCAATGAATAGACAAAAACATGACGCACATAATCCACAAGTATATTCACCGCTCCCTTCACCTTCCCGATCATCGCTGTTGCATCATATCGGTCTTTCCCCTCCGCAACACCGCCCGCAAGGTACCCCGAGAATGCCTTCGTGCCCCATGGCACCTCGGATGGCTCGCAGATGGGTGAGAACGCAGATGCACTACGATATTGCTTCATCCCCGATAACAGTGACGCAAGGTACACAGTCAGCGCCCCGTGTCCGCCCATCGAGTGTCCAAAGATTGACTGGCGTGTGAAGTCCTGTGAATATTGTCGTCAGGGAAAGAAAGGGGAAAGATAAGAGGCGCTGAGACAGACGAGAGGCAAGCCTGCTTTTTCAAGCACCTGAGGGAGCTCTTGAGTGATATGGCTGAACATATTATAATGCTTGGACCACTTGGGATTCGTTGCGTTCAGGTAAAACCCAGCGCCTATCCACCGCGTCCGCTGTTAAATAAGGATGAGCACCAAGATAGAGATTACCCACCACTGCCAAAATCCCAATCTACATCTTCACCATCGATACCTGCACCACGCGGGGAGGTGTCAGGGAAGAGCAGTGCGATACCCTGAGCTGCTGCATCGCGCATGAAACCGCCTTTTTGGGCCCTGTGCAGTGTGGGGCGTGTTTCGTCATGTGAGTTTGTGAAGTCAACGGAAGGACGTTTAACACGCACCCATTATCCTCCGTGCAGGTGAGTCCTGCAAGATAGACAAGTACAGGGACCTTCCCCTGAGCCGCATTGGCGGGGAGGAAGAGATTGAATTGAGTATAGGTATCGCCCAGAGCAGCAGACTATTAGCCTCATTATCAGCGTGGCATTGCCGCCGCTGCCAAAACGACGTACTCTAAACTTGTACTTTGCGAGCGTCCCCTCGTAGTGCTTGTTCGATGAAAGTTTTTCGAGTGACATGTCGGCGGGCTATACGCCAATGTTGAGATTCACGATAGGAAGATCAAAACTATCAAATGTGCGAGTTGACGAAACAGACAAGAATGATACGCGCTTGTCAGTGGGTGAGATGGCTTGGACACTCGTCTCATGATCATGATTCCCCGCTTATCCGGTCCACCCCCCGGTCATGGTATTAATTTGGCCTACTCCAACTCACATTGGATGAAATGTGTTTTATTCCGTGAGAGATACCAATCAATGCTGAATCTCAGTAGTAAGCAATTAGAATACAATACGACTATTAATGCAGCAGATACTTAATCTTGTAATTACGGGTATGGCACAATGCGTGAAGGGTGATCTAGTCTCGTTCTCCCGCATGTGCAGGCGGGGTTGACGATTTTGTAGGTGGTGTAGGTGGTGTCTCGTCATGAGGAGGTGTAGGGGGTAGAGATCTCTGCTTCGTTGATGGAGGTGCTTCTGGGAATGTCGCAGACCTCGATCCTTCCGCTGGTTGGGAAGTACGCTGGGGTAGTGACATTGATTCTTCTTGCGCTTTTGATACCATCTCTCCAAGTGCAGGGTGCATCCTCAGCAGCGGGCTTGGCGTCGACCTGGGAGACGGACTACTACCCAAGAGGTTCTGCTGCATTCTCTCCCGGTGACCTTCAACCATGCCGTTCTCTAGCGTAGCATCATCGCCCTCGCCCTCCTCTACTCCGGCCAGCAGATCTGCGATACCAAGGTAGAATGAAGCAGGCTTGAAGAGAATTTCCTTTCCCCACATCGAGGCCCACGTATATCGCGCAGCATTCGTCCATCCAACAAGATCGAGGTGGTTCACGGGTGAAAGGGTACCGAGATATGTGCCCTGCATGCGTATTCAGCAAGGCACACACCAAGAAGTCATACTGCGCACTTACCCACTTGGCTGATTCGACACTAACCAGCCCATCGTTCGGACCCTCCTTCTCTAAGATGACACTATGTGGCCATTTCCATGTATCAATAAGCCCTGGTTCATAGCATGCACCCCAGCTAAAATAGCGCACACCGTCAGCATCAGGTGTCTCTTCGTTGAACCGGCGCATGCTCTCTACAGTAAGACATTCAAATGCCTTCCCATCGCCGCCACCGTTTGGTAGTAGCTCGAGTAGCGCGAGAACGGATGGGAGATGCTGCGAGGCGAGCGACATGAAGTGGTCCGCGAAAGAAGAGCCACGATGTGGAGTAGCAATTGTAGTGATGCTTATCACAGAAAACTTGCGCTGGGTGAGGTGTGTTGTGAGATAACGACAATCGAGGCCGCCCTGCAATGTGTCAGTAAGGGTAACTGTCCACCTCAATGCTCAGCTTACCATGCTGTGTCCTATGAGATGGACAGCACGGCCAGGATAAACTTCTGAGATCTTTTTCTCAAGAACTTTTGCGCGCTCTACAGGGGAGCTTGTTGCAGGTACTCGCGTGATAAGAACTTCACAGCCATTTGCCTCCAATGCCTCCTTGATACCACGCCAATGTGCAACCTGTAAGGGTGCAAGGGAAGGTCCAACGGTTACGGTATCAAAACCAAGAAGTCCATGGCAGAATACAACGGGGGCTTTCGGTGAACGATCTACGCACAAGCGGTTAGCCAAGCTCGAGGAATAAACTATAAACATACACTTCTGATGAATTTTATTCAACGATGAAGCCTGATCTTCCTCATTGAGGAGCTTGCCCACGTTGTCCTTAATCCCCGAGTCTGAATCACTTTGAAACCACCATTTACTTAGAATAGGAGGGGGCGCAATCTGTGGTGCGGTAGATGCATGGATCGAACGCAATGTATCGATGGACGAATGGGTGGGTAGGGAGTGATTCAGCGATATGCGTGGCTCGTCGGTGTGAGCTGCCGAATCTGCAGAGGATAAAGGGAGTCCATTTTGAATGTGTGGAGGAATGGAAGTCACAGATACTGACGGGAGAGTTGATAGCAGATTACTGAGTAATGGAGGTGGACGACTGAGCAGGCGAGCAGGCGAAAAGGATTGAGGCAGTCGTGCGCGTGGAGGAAATGTCGGAAGGATGCTGTCACTCAACGCCTCGTTTAGTAACGATATCCCCGGAGATGGCGGACGCGACGATGATGGTGAGCCATCTGTCGACACTGAACTGGATAGCGGCATGTCTCTGGCAGACGACGATAATGGCCACCACACAACAGGTGGCTTCTGATTAGGACTAATAGACATAGGGTGCTGAAGTGCCCATGAAGGAGGGGCAGACGCTGAAGAAGCGCTGAACGACCTGCCGTGAACCCCACGTGTAGCCTTGCCATTGATGGCCGTAGTAGACGTTAACCGGGTACCCCACATCCCAGACCAACTTGCAGGTATTTCTTCGTCGTTTCGACTGTTCTCTGGATGTTCGAAGCGGGAAGTTAGCGTCTTGAGAGTGGAGCTCACTGTGGTTGACGGTGATGAAGATAAGTCATACATACCCTCCCGAGAGTAAGTAGTACTTAGCAGGCTACTCTCGGTCAACTTTTGGTAATTAGAAGTGGCTGTGCTACTACATTTCTTCATCCTACAATAATGCATGGTCCGTCGTTGCCGTCCGTCCTCAAGTCGAAGCCTGCGACCCATGACAGTAAGAAGGACATGTTCGTGATGTTATGCGAACTGAGTGACTTGTCTGACAGCAACGACAACTCATGATCAGCTAATAGCTGGTCTCGCTCGCGTTACCTCTCCTCAAGAGTAAGTCGTACTACATCACACCAGCGTGTTCTGATTCACTCATTGTTGTAGGACACCGATATACATTTGTGCATTCCAAGGTACGCGTTATGCCGTTTATTATCTGTCTGTTAACTAGCGCCCGTAGATTGTAACAGACTGTTTCCTTCACGCGAACGTGTCATGCTGCACCGTAAACGTGACCACAACTCAGAAGAAGATAGAGACATCATTACTTGGAACGAATAGCAGCTCAGAATGTTCAGGACATCAAATATTCATACTCAAGTCCCGAGGCCCTTCACCCCGTGATTCTTACAGTTTATAACTCAGCAGTTTTTTTTCACTACCACACTGACGACAGATACATTTATCTCGATTTTTGACCAGAATCGGATATGAACCGTTGCAATTAAATACCACGAAAGCACTACAAATCTAGTGTCACAAAAACACACAACAAAAGCAATAAGAACAGAGAGTATCGCAAACTGAATTACGTGAAGTGCGCTCGGATTCGCTCTCGGTACGCTTGATCCAACTCTTCGAGGTCCATACAGATCCACCAACTCTTGAGTGCGGCGTACACAGTTGCACGGTCCTGCGGGTCCGGGACGAGAAGGTGAGAGACGAGGACCTTGGCTACACACCCGCAAACAGTCAGGGGATTGGTTATCAATTCGAAAGAGATGGGTTGTAGAGGACTGAAACAACAAATAATCTTGAGCACGCACCGTCGCGAAGTGGACCCCAGATCGGCTCATGGAAACAAATCTGCCCATCAAGGATACGTTGTTTTGTTCTTTCATCTTGAGCCGTCGCATGTTGGGATTGGACGAAGCCCTGAGAGTCCACGATGTCTTCAAGAGAGATGCGAGATTGAGAAGAACTGACAAAATCGAATGGGTGACTTCCGCTTCAGTAATCCGAGTATTAGCTCTGAACATGAGTTCTGTGACAACAAACATAGCAGAACACGCACGTCAACATCGCAAAAAGCGTCACGCCTGCGCTCCAGCAGTCAGCTGGCATACCAACGTAGCCAAGATGTTTGTGCTCGAGCGCCAGGATACCTTCTGGTGGGAGATAAGATATGGTGCCACAAACATGCAAGGTTTCTTGGTAAGCTTTTGGACGTGCAAGACCGAAGTCGGCAATCTGGATGCGTGGATAAGGTCCAGGTGAAAAAAGTAGAATATTTTCTGGCTGTTGATGACAGAATGAAGTCAGCAATTTCAAGTACGCACAGGGCGTCACCTTAAGATCTACCTTAAGCTCAGCTAGGGCTTCGCTGAAGAGGTATAGAACCTTACCTCTGTGGGAGATCATACGATCGTGCAGGTACTTCAAGCCCTTGAGGAGTTGATACATGATGTACTTTGCCTCCCCTTCGCATAATCGGTGTTTTGAGTGCGTGGTGATGTACGTGAAAAGGTCGCCACCGGTACAGAGTTCAAGAATAATGTATCTGATGCACACAATTTGTCCCTTCGGTGGTGAACCAAAAAAACAAGCGACATACAGGAATTCCGGATCTAAATCGACAGCATATACCCTATTGATGTTGGGCTGCTTAAATCAAGATCATGACATTATAAAGAGATGAAATTATGCACGAACGTGATGCAGGTTCATGAGCAGTGTTGCCTCCTTCATCTCTTTCCTAAGGTCACTACCCTCCTTGCGCCTGATGATCTTGCAGGCGGCTTGTTGGTAACCTGTGGTATCAAGCGCAAGCTGTACGGTGGCATAACTTCCACTTCCAAGGCAGTGAGATGTGATTAGGAATCGACCGAGGTCCTGCATGAAGTCTTTAGAATTAATATGTTGCTTTGGTTAACGGTAGTAACTTTGTATGACTGCGTTTGTGACTGAGAAGGCTGTGACGCATGTTTTTCATGAAGGTGCCTCCATTTTATTATGCATTGAAACGCTGGTAAAAGGTCAGCAAGGCACAATGTGAAAGCGGTGCATGGTTGAGATATACTCTGCGAGGCTGGTATTCTGAATGTATCGCCATTCATGACAATGACAGATGTTTTGCGGATTTTGTGCCCATTCAAAATGAGTCCATTTGTCGACAGGTCCTTTGCAGCAGTTAAGTTGAGCCAGCAAGATAACACGAGACAAGTAACTACCTGGCATGATACAATGATTCCTCCGGTGCTAGACTGGACCCTGTTCAACGCGTGTTAGGAGACGTATGAGTTCGTAAAAATATGAACTGACGCGTGTATCTTGCAATGTAGGCTAGACACCACGATATCTGATATCACGTACGAGCTGCATATGAGCAAATGAGTAAACAAGATGACCTAGGGCAGAAGATGCGTTAAGCGACCAAAGAGAAGGGTTCCTTCCAATGGTTATCGGCTTCCCAATACTCAAAGTTATTGCTGCGCAGCAGATCGTTGTTTAATCATCACCGCCGGTTAAAGGAAGAAGATAGAATTCATACCTTCCGTGCGTCCATCCGCGGTCGTTGTAACAAATTTGGCGCATACATCCGATCTTGATAAAGTCTGCGAACGTGCTGACTTTGAAGAGACAAACGAAGGTACAGGCTGAGTCGGTCCTAGGGAGCGTGTCTGTGTTTCCATGCTTGGTAGATTTAGAGAAGAAACAAGAAGCAACGTAGATGCGGCTCGAGACATTTATCGAACTGCAGAGGGGTCATTGCTACTTTTGGAATTTGACCCGACCACTCTCAACAGTCCTCTTAATAGATAAATGTGTGTTCCACCAGCGTGTTAGGCATCAATCATATCCCTTGCCACTCCTCTGCTTCACTCGCTTGTTCTTTTTGTTATGCTTCTTCCCAACACTACTAGCACTCGCCGACACAGCGGCCTGTTTCGCGCTCCCATGTCCCAATGGAGTACCATCATCAGCCACCATATTTTGATGAGGATATATTCTTCCCCTCGAGAACTCCTGCCCGTTACGAGATGTACCTTGTAGAAATGCCCGTGCTGATAAATTCGAATTATGAGCAAAGAAGTCTTGGTCAAGAGCTTGAGATTTCAGCCCCTGCCCTTGAGCAACAAGTATGGGAGACGGATTGGCAGGCACGAATGTATCCGCGCCTTTTCCAACTCTTGTGACGGGTGCACGTTTCTTTCCCGTCACTCGCAGCAGCGATAGTTCGTGGGTTGTTTGGTTGAAAGATTCCTCAGGCGTGCCCGGCGGTGAGTGGCAGAAAAGTAGCTTCCCGTTGACATAGTCCTTTAGGACATATCGTGCTGCTCGTGCCTCGTCTGGATTACCTTGGCCAGACCGCATGAACCCTCGAGCAACTGTTTACTGATGAAAAACAGTTGTTTTCACCAAATGAAGAGTACCCACTCGCATAAGCGATCAAGAAGTCCTCCGCAGTGATCTTTCCGTCACCCCCCTCTTCTACGCCCTTGAATTTAACAGTCAAACCGTAAGTCGCTTCAAGCACCTCCTTTGGTAATCGCTTGGCTACCAGGGCTACTGGACCAGAATATTCCCTCATTTGGTCAATTGGTAACACACCGTCACAAACCAGTGCGGCTTTGGTCGTCGCAAATTGAGGGAATACCAACCCAGGACAGTCGCAAAGTACTATCGCTGGGGAGAGATGGATAGTTTGAAAGTGCTTTGTCTTTCCAGGAGTAGAGGAGACGGAGACTTTTTTTTCTCCAAGAAGGGCGTTGATTGTGCTGGATTTACCAACATTGGGATAGCCGACAAGCCCAACCACTAGTTTTGTTGGAGGTTCCCCAGACGGGCCAGCAAATACTACCGATTGGCGAGCTGTAAGCCTTTACTTTAATTAGAAAAACAATCGAGCTTCACTTGATAGATCTGGAGCAGCTGTGACGAAGAGATCTTCGAGCTCCAACACTGAGAGAACTTTGGTACGAGGATCTTTTCCGTCGGGACTATCTTCCTCTGTGTGAACGTACTGATGTTCGTCGTCCGTGTCGCTGTCGGAGTGAGGCGACGATTCCGGCACCGACTCTTTTGCGAAGTCATCATCACTGACATCGTCGCTGGGCGTATCCGGACCATCTGAATCGGACAGTGAAGCTTCGTCTTGATTATCCTCATGCAGTTGCTCCTCTTCGGCCTGAGCAATAGCATCCCGGCGGGCTTGCTGTAATGCAGCAGCATTCGCAGCGGAGAAAAATGCGTATTGTATCCCTTGACCATCAAAATAATCTGCCCATATGCGCCTTTGGGTGAAGGTTCGAATAAACTAGACATTCGATTAGAACTGAAACCACGCTCACCTTTGTGTCGCAGTGAGTAGATCGGCCTTATTGATCAACAGGAGAGTTCTGCGCTTATCTCTTCCTGTACCCGCCTCGCCTTCCGCACCTTCCACGTCTTTGACATACGACTCGAGATCCTCGCACCTAAATCTTAGCGGATTGCGAGCATCTACGATTTGCACGACTAGATGTGATCGCTCCAAGACACGCCACAATTGCCTCCAAACTTCGAGATTGCGTTCGAATGGCGTTAACAGAAATTTATCCTCCTCCTGAAGTCTTTATCGGTATTGGTTAGTGGCTGCAAAAGATCATAGGTTTTCCCACATACTGAGCGAGCCCTCTTCGCCACTCGAGGAAGGCGTCTTTCTCTTGTCGGTCTAATTGTGATGTTGTGATTGCTTTCGTCCATGGAGGTCTTCTGGGCACCCTGAGTCGCTCCTTATTCAGCTGGTGCTTCTTCAAAGTCGACTCCTCTTCCTGATCGGTGAGAAGATGGGGATTGTGTGTTGATCCTGCAGGCGACTGGATAATCTTCACATTTCGTCGTTCTACCTTTCCGCATGAGGCTATAAACAAAAGGAAATCATAGTCACGCACCCGCCGTAAACTCTGTGCCCGCCAACTGTGCTGTGTTCAGGAATTCATCTAGATCTCTCTCCTGCGTAACAGATTTAAGGCGGGTTGTCGAGTCAACTTCGGTTGTATACTAAGAACATGAATAAACGCATGCAGAACACAAAATATCACATACAAGGCCGGACTCTTGTCTTTCCTTGGCATCCTTGAACTTTTTATTGATGATAGCTCGACCAAGTCCCGAGGGATTCTGGTTCTTTTGTCTTGGTGGCTATCATTGTACACCGTAAGCAGCCAGCATCTCGCTCCTGCTTTTTAACTCACCATAATCCCAAAATTCTGATCGGATTAGAGTCTGAAAGAAGATGGCCTCGGAGGACCGACCTGCACTGATTATCAATTGCTATATTTGGTCATGACTCATGAGCTCGTAAGAATTTCTCCGTTCACCTGTGACTTCAGTCCCAAATCAACTTAGTCCTGTACCAACTTGATCAGACTAAGTACCCATTCTCCTAATATTATCCTTTGACGTGGAAGGCATCGATGTTGAAGTAAGTTGTAGCAAGGCCTAGCCTAGCGTACAAACCATTCACTATGCAATTGAAGTGGAACGTGACTCGGACTGAGCCTGCTGATCAGCTGTGACTTGGCGAACCAATGCATTTATCATAATAATGCCTTTAATGCGCTTCTAAACTTACCCAACTAGATTTGTCTGCCTCGAGTTGGCAGGGTTCAACTTCTACCTCGCCATTAGAACGGGTTCAGAAACTCAGACGCTGGTTCATCTATGTGATCACTGATAGAGACCGACAGCGACTTACCATCGTCAACACCGCACTCTTTCGTACAGTCACACAACCAGACTCGAATCGATGTTGTCCGTTGGATCCATGGGTCAGAGGCGTCCCCCAGAGCCTGGCTGGTCGTCGCAAATGACTGCTCCCACTACGCCAGCTGTAGGTTTTCACATTCGTTTTGCTTAACGCACGCTTACCGCAGCCCTGCAGCTGAATGCGCCACAAATAGGGATAAGGACAAAACATCGTCCTCCCGAGTTTGGCGTTCAGTTGAATATTGTACACATCGCTCATTGTAAGAGAGCTCAAATAGTCCTCGATCAGCAACATCTCGCGTGGGGAACAATTTATGAACTGGCACGAGGCGTCACTCGTGGCATGTGGACGTTCGGAGATATGACAGAACACCGTTTGTGTAAACTCAAGGGTTCAAATGTGCAAGCTGCATGGAAAGTGGCTGCCGTTATCAAAGACGAAATGGGGCCATCATCTGCAACGAGAGCATCATCAGAAGTTTGGTATAAAGTTCAATTCTCTCACGAATTCCAAGCTAAATATGACTGAAAGGCTCGAGTACGATCGAGAGCAACTTGCGATTGTCGAAAACAAAGGCCGCGGCCTGGGAACTATGGGCGACTGGGAGGGAAAAGAACATTGGTACGGAGGCAAGATTCAGCAAGTTGCCCGTATTGTAAGAGCTGGAAGTTCGTTTAAACTCGAGCTCGAAAAACCCGAGATTCGACGGTCGCATCGATTTGGTCGGTTTTTGGCGTCTCGACACATACTCCAAATCCGTGTCCCGGACAACCTGATATACGACACAGAAGTCCCCAAGTTTCTAGGGTCCAGCAAATTTGTGTTGTGTGGCCGCGTCTTCGTACCATTTCATGCGAAGGAGGGGAGTGTCTACCTCTTTGAAACCAACGAAAATATAGATCGGCAGACTAACCCTGGCGATGGTGACAGTCACCGACTAACACTTCACGAATTTGTACAGTGGCATAATCCACTGAGGCTGAATTCAAAACAGGTGATTGCCTTTTCGTTTGAGTCTGCATGATGCAGCTCTGACGCGCACCCCGACTAAGCCCATCAGCAAATGGTCTACCCGATGGGCGCTCGGCCTATCAACTTCGGTACCAACAATCAAATTCGCCTCTGAGGATATATTCTTCATTGACGATCAATGTAGCATTTCCTCTAGCTTACAAACTATGTTGCATTGACTTAGATCTTACAGATACTGGGGACTACGGCGAGGGAAAGCATCCAGTTGGAAACATCATGACCGATGGGTGCGGGTTCATCAGCGGTGCAGCATTGACTGCCATCATGCGAGTAATCCAATATCCGAGTCGACCGACAGCTGTGCAGGGACGTATTGCTGGTGCCAAGGGAATGTGGGTTCTGCATCCAGATCCTGAGTATCAAGTCGCCGATGGACCACCAAAAATTTGGATACGTAACTCGCAAAACAAAATCGATTGCGGACCGCTGCACAAGATTGACGCTGCTCACAGAATTTTTGATCTCGTTGCGCCGTCTCGTGTAACTGGACCGAGCCGCTTATCCAGAGACACTTTGGTAAATTTAGCGCACAATGACGTCCCCACCGGTATTTTGAAGGAACTCATGGCTGATGGACTGCACAATGAAGTGCGCCAGCTCACTGAATGGGATGGCCCCGATTCAATGCTTGTAGTTTGGCGGGCTGTTGAGCGTGCTGGCCGTGTTGTGATTTGCAGGCTGCGGCGGCGCATTGCTGGCCAGGTCCGTGCACTCGGCCTTGGCGAACTTCGGCCCAACGAGGAGCTGGGTGACGAGATTGATGATGATGGTGATGTCGTATTGGACCAGCCACCGGCTACCTCGGATCCCCGAAGTCGCAATCCCCATAGCGGCCAACCAACCTCCCTACATGAATCTGTCCTCGAGCTTCTCCAGGCAGGGTTTCACCCCTTAAAGTTCGACCAGCTCTTTAGCAAGCTCAAGAGCGTGGTGATGCTCGTTCTGGACGATTATGCAAAAAATTGTCACATTCCAGTCAAGGAGTCCCTCGAGGCCTACATCATACCAGGCAAGTAGCGCCTTTAACGACCCCTGTTACTCGTCTAATCGGACCACAGATCCGTATGGTGTACTTGAGGAGGGCCAGATACATTTTCGGTCGTCCCAACTCATCACCGATCCTGAAAGTGGAACCCATATGGATACCATCACAGGACCCGTTCTAGTAAGCACTTTAATTTTGTCGAAGTTTGTCCTGAGATTTGTGAGTAGGTGTGGAGGAATCCCACGAGACTGCCCTCGGACGTCCAGAAGGTAAGAAAACTGTTTTACGTAAGATTGCCTCCGAGTCATCACACATGGGTCAGGCCACTGCCGTCAGTCACCCTAAGTTGTCAAGTTACTTCGATGTCATTATATTTCCGGTGCAAGGCGAGCGATCACTGGCGAGCTACTTGGGTGGTGGAGGTTGGCACTTTCTCCTCATGCTTATTCTCGAGGCATTTGCTCACAAGTCCACTTTGTAGATTATGACGGAGGTGAGCTTCTTTTGCTTCTTATTTTCTCTCTCATTGAGCGATTGTTTTTTCGAAGATACCGTCGTGTTGGTCTGGTCTAAAGATCTCGTTGAAAACTTTAACAGCGCTCCGCTATGTGAGACACCCGTGGATCTGAGGAACGATTTCGAAGAAGATATCGAACACCTTCTTGATTTTGACCAAAGAGTATCCAAGCTCTCAGACAAAGAGGCTCAAATAGCTTTTCAAAAGGTTTTACTGCACGGGCTGGTGGAGACGAAGTACAAATTGTATTCTGGCTTTCATGATGCAGCTGTGTATCAAGATGGCTATGACAGTACAACAGCCGTTCGACTTGCATACATGTAAGTACTTTAAATTCTGTCGTTACCATGCTCGGTTTATAATATGTGGTGAAGGTTTACAACGTGCCTGGATGCAAAGAAGACTGGGCTACGAGTCAAACACGATGTTTTCGAGGCGCACCGCAAATTTTACGGGAGCCGCAAACCATATTACAAAGTGGCGGCTCTAAAAAAGAACGACTCTCCCAGAGAAGACCTACCGCCAGTGAAGCGAATTTCATCATCACCTTTCATCCTCGATGACCTCGTGGACGAGGGAAATCGCCTCCGTGACGAGTTTGTCGAGAAGTACTCAAGCCTCCGCAGTTCCTCGCCCCGTGTTTTGGACCATGATACCCATCTCACCTCTCCTTACACATCTGCATCTTACAGGGCAACACAAGCGGTGCATGTTGGTTTCCAAGGATTGCAAGTCAACCTGACTGTTGCCAAACTGCATGTCGAAAAAGCATATCAAGACTGGCTATGCGCTGTTGCAATGCAAAAAAGTGCTTCAAGCCCTAGGCGTTCTTCTGATCCTAAGGAACAACAGATCCTAAAAGTTGCGCGATACTTTGCGCAGCGGCCGTTGTTCCAAGACGTACTCTTTTTTTCTGAAGAAGAAATCAAGACTATTATGGCATCTTATGCTTACACTCTCAACCAGTCGTTCGGGTTCTCTGTTGCCTTCAGGGAGCTTTGCGCCATCAAAGCGCGAGTACAAGGCGGAGTCCCTTTCGAGGATAAATTTGCACAGGTTATGAACATACCTAACAATGTTTTACGAGCTCTTTCGCAGGCACAGGATGACACAGATAATTGAGGTTTTCATGTTTTCTATGACAGTATATCGATCAGCGTATTTGATTGAACCAGTTGTCTTGTTTACATCCCATAAGTACTTCAATACGTGTTGCATCTATCCTTATGATACGTGGCGCCAATGAACTTGTCTGACAGCTGGTGCACAATCAAAGAGTAAATCCAATAATGTAATGGGGCGAGCCTTGCTTCGCGATTGTAAAATCGGACAACCAAGCACAACCCGGTACTACTGCATCTGTGATCTACCTCCTCGGATCCATGCGAAGGTTAGGACTGTATTTGATCAACATATTTCCTATAGCCGGCCCACTTGAAGTTGCCGCGTAGCAAGAACCTGTGGTTTTTTCGCATGCATCATGCATCTGAAATATCATTGTGTACTGCATTTCTGCTGCGTCAGGCCTCGTAATAGATATAAATGAGTAGTAGTGCTTTGGCCATATGATGCTGTCCACGTTACAAGAGATCGACATGAATAGAATGGCATTGGCATTTCAGCGCCCCTCTGATCGGTCTGTGTATCACCTGCCTGAAGATCCGACGGATGATAGCCTATCACATGCGATGGCGTTCAAACGTTCAATCTCCATGGTCCCGAGGAAGAAAGCGTTGGAAGATGCCCGCCATTCGACAAAAGAACGTACTAGTGTAGTTGGTCTGGGATAGACGATTAATGTAAAAATTTACATGAATGAAGGGTTATGCTGCAATAACAAGCCCTCGTTTCGGCCCGCGCTTCACCTTAACGACATTCAGAACTGTGCTAATGGAACGTGCCAAGTGAGGGCATTCATTCATCCATGATACCATGAACGGAAAGCTTCTCTTCCAAGCTTGCAATGGGACCCGAGCGCGAAATGCAAAACCTCGGGAGTAAGTGTCTGGGAATTTGATACAATATCCGGGTCTTCACGTTCTGCTGCACGGTATAATTTGCATTGGATGCGTTACTTGAGCGGGGGCACGTGAAAATCCTCAACTGTTGCGTCGAAGAACCCGCTAGTAGTATCACGCTGGCGTACGTATACGGACCATTTGGTGGCGTGGCCGACTTCCGTGACCTGGGAATCGGAAACAATGAGGAACTTCATCACACATTACGAGGTTCGGGACTGACCGAAGATGACCATATCTCAAGTTGGTAGGCCACATCACCGGACATCTTCGCAACTGCGACATCAAGCGTGGTCGGGCTTTAAGCTACCCAAACCAGGCTATGTCAAGGAATGGTGTACCCATGATCTTTTGACGATTTCAAACGGTCGCCGAAAATATGATCATCTATGTGAAGCTTCACCGTAGTGAAGTGAGTAAGTAACTGGATTGAGATATATCCCTCACAGACATTCAACAGATTTGTTTTAAAGAGCTCTAGAACTCACCGCCTTGACTGGGTACTGTTGGGTACGACGCTACTAGTAGTAGGGTCTAGTGACGAGCTGCCGGCTGGCTTTTGCATCATTCCTCACTGACTGACCGAAGTCAGAAATATCCTATGGTAGACTCTGACGAGCGTGCATGCATGCACATCTTGCAGGTCTGATCATCTGGGCGACGGCCCGCGGGAACTGTAATCAAGCAGGCATGTGTGTTGGCTGAACCGATTATGTCAGCTCTTCGGGTGAGTTACTCTACAGGCTTTGTCTATGACTTCGTGGCAAGCAAGGTGATGCTAGCATTCCTGATGCATTTTGCCAGATTAAGCGAGTCATAGCTTCTAGTTCCTCTGGGAATATAGTTCCACCTTGTTTTGTAGAATCGTGTCGGCTCCAGGTTCGGTGGAGGAGGAGGAGGTGTTGCTGGGGCTTTGGAGACCAACATGGATAGGTGTGAATGTTTGCGCAAACTTGTGCTTGAGACGAGCGATGTAAGTTCCTAGTATTTGACCTGCCCTCCAATGTTAATCTTAACGTGTTGTACAGGATCCATAATGTATCGGCTCACGACGCTAAGGACACGCAGTTGACGATTACTCCGACTCACAGTAATGTACAACACGAAGTGTCCCTCAAAATAGGACTACCGAGTGGAAATGTGCGGGACAAAGATACAAGCAAAGAACGCATGGTGGTCCAGGTTCACCTTCCCCAGATCCAGGCGGATGATATCCCTCGGCGCCGACGACCTACGAACGTTTGGGAACAAAAGCGGGAGCCTTAACAATGCAGTATACCTGTATCTAATCGTAGGTGCGACTACTTTCCAAGTCACACATTGCTTATTGGATGCTAGGTGACTGCTGAATCGTATGAGATAATTGATTTCCCCTGCGCGCGAGCTAGAAGACGAAGCTAACGATGACGGATATTGGAACTGGTCATATTTGGGATCCTGATACGAAACAGTATAGCTTCCAGTTGTTCCGTTTAACTTGCTGATGTTGCGTACTAACCGGTGCAATCTCCTTTTCTTGTTATGCTTTTATTCTTCGCCGTCCCGAATTGTTTGGATCAATTTCATCCTGATAAATTTAGCTTTCATCTCATGCCGTCCTCAGAGGTGTACGCCGTATGATTTCTCGTGATATTATTCTGATCCAAGAAACTTCGATTCACATTTTGGACGGTAAATGACCTGTCAGCACCAAATTTACCACTCGTGTAAACTTCCCATTGCTCCAGATTTACTCGTGGAACTTCTTAGGGCAAGAAGTATGATGATCTAAGTTGGTTATATACACACCAGTGAGCCAAGTGAGTCACGGCCCTGAGGCCTGAAGTTTGTACCCCGTAATTGATGTATTAAGTGCAACTCTTTCATAGTCACCACCATCACGCCTAATAATTCGCACAAGACCACTTAATATACACCAGAAACTGGTTTCTATTACGATGGCCCCCGAGTCTTCGGTACAACTTTGACCAGCGATAAGACCTCGACAACGGAGATTTTCAGGAGAGCTATGAAACATAAACGGCGTTGTGACAACACACTTGAAACACCATCAGTAACAAGATCGGACTCTATTCATGGGACCTTGGCCTGTCCATCGGTGGTGATACAACTTGATTATACGTCGACTTAGTATTCAGCCGAGGTCAAGAATGAAGTTCTTCACGCGATTCATTCAGTGTGTTATTGCTGGAAATAATGAAGTAGTAAACAATGTGGGCATTATTTGGGTGTCTAGTGTGTATGTGTGAAATCGATACATTCAGGGCCGTCGCCGTCTAAACATAACCTCTGCCTTACGGTTGGGAGAGCAATTCATCAGAAACCATTCATCTGGGGGACGCTCGCCTTCTTTTTCCAATTTAATATCATAGTTTAGCACAAGATAAGCCATCATGGCCTTCATCACACTAGAAGCAAAGAAGCGGCCGGGGCTGACAAAACCAGTGAGTGAGAACTTAAAACCATAGATCGGGCAATTTTAGCGTACCAAGCATGATGTCCATATCCAAAAGGAATATAGCTTGCACTTGTGGAAGCTAGCAGGCTTTGTGGGTCTTCTCCATTGTCCTCGCGCCGCTGTGAAAACCGGAAAGGTTGAAACTCAGATGCGCTTTCGAAGTATTCCTCGTCGAGATGCATGGGTAATGAAGCGACAACGACGTGAGTTCCGCTGGGTATCACAGTACCATCCGAGAATACGAATTGCCGCATTGCTTTGCGCATCATAGGGACTACCAGAAATCAGCTTAATATCACCAAAAATGAATAACAACCTACAGAGAGTGGTGCTATTGAATCGTTGGGATTCCTTGAGAAAGCTGTCCATCTTGACGAGTCTCGTCATCGCAGTCTTCGACCATCCGTCTTGATTAATAACAGCTGAAGCTTCCTCTCGAAGAGGTGTGCAATACTGAGGGTATGTAGCAAGGTTTAATAGAGCGTGGGTGAGGCTCTTTGTGAGACAAGAGTCAGTGATCGATTTGTTCTGAAGCATAACGTCATACCTGAGCTGATGTATGTAATGCAGCGAAATTGAGGACCAAAATCCGCAAACATATACTCCGAAGATTCCTGTGTTCATCGTCGGATACGTCAATGAGCCAACTAATCATGTCATTCTTATAGAGAAACATAGTCAAGTGGCGAATCATGTCATAGGAAGATAACATACAGGTTGAGCATCCCCGCCTTGTTCTAGAGTCTGTAGTCGTTCTCGCACGATAGGTTCAAGAAGTGCCATGCATGCCCTAATACTACTGGGCGTGTTCGTCAATAATCGACCAATGATCCTAAAAGTCAAAGTTGGGTCTTCGCACCATCAATTCAGCAACACTGCTTACGGATGTGCAAATTTTGGGAAAAAATTCACGAGAGTTGCACGCAATACCACTTGTAAAGCGAATTGCTGTTGCAGGGCTTCAAATTCAGGGGATCGGCCTGTAAGCGGGCTGAGCGGATGCACCCTTGATCTAAGCGAACCACTTACATAGCGGAAGCCCAACAAAGAGGCGATTGCTTACGCGACACATAGCCTTCATGATTTCCGGGTATATGCGAACCTTAGCCCAACCTGCGCAAAAATAACGTAAAAATAACCTCACGGAGAAGGTGACGAAACTTGCCATTTTGGGCTGATGGTATGATGGTGCTGAATGTGTCAATGATCTCGTTGTAAACATCAGGAAAGAGTGCTTGAAGGTTTCGGGAGAGATGGTTGCGAGTGACTTGGATGTGATAGGGATATTCTTGCGCGTCGATGCCAAATGTATACTTGACTTGAAGAAGCTGTGAAATCGTGTATTAAATCTCAATGTTACGGAACAAGAAAGAAACTTCCAACATACATCTCGCATAGCATGATCAAACGAAAGCTCGTCTTCCGGCACTTTCCTCAACTCCTCTATTAGCCGCGGCCCAGTCAGGACTACGACCCATTTGTCAAACAATGGCACTCTGAACATCCCGCCTTTGTGCTTCATCGACGTTCAAAACATCATTACCTAATAATAGCATTGTCACCAACCTTCTCATAACCTTCTTGCACCATGGCTGGAGCATCCCTTATGAAGCGGACGGCGCCAAGCCATGAGGAGACTGCTCCTGATGGACCGATCGCAGGAATAACACTAAGCTAGATTCGACGTTAGTCAGTCTACTGCGACTGGACAAAAGTGCTCGCCTCAGAAAACCTGCAACGATCGTAAATGAGGACGAGGAGAAGGGGTACTATAAGAGCCAAGCCATAGACAAATAGACCAGCACTGTCCATGGAATGAGCGTCGGAGGCAAAAAGAGGTGGAGGGCATTTCGGACACCACTCCCATGCGGACCAAGGGTATTTATGTTGGGCGCACTGCAGATTAGTGTAATGGAAATTAGAGTTAAGCACAATCGAGCCTCTTACCGGGTGGCTGGCTTAGATTAGATACATAGAACCCGAGCAGTGGCGCGGAGTATTGAAACATATAATTTTTCGTTCTCAAGGAGAAGTTTTCAGGCTAGTGATCCCTATCCTCGACGCGCATGAGAAGCTATGAGACGAGCCAACCTCGTCAATCGGAATTTCGTCATGTCAACGAAGCCATGATCCATGGCCCGCATCAGTAATAAATTTTAATTTTTAGTAACAAAGGACAGCCAGGGACAACCCTTGCAACTTTTGTGAACTTATCCTGAGCTTCTGACGTTGCAAAAGGTCATAGAGCCAGCACATCTCCGCTCAGACTGCTAAAGTTACTATGTAGGGCGTCTCACCTCCGCCAGAAATGAACGGAATCGAACGGAACTTTCCCGCGTGTCCAATCGAGTATGCAGGTCGATCAGCAGCATTGCCATTGTTTTGGCTAAAGATGCAACGTTGAAGCACCTCAAGGCCGCCATCATTGGTTATTGCTGTCGTAATTAGAGCGGAAGTTAGTGGGCTGGGTGTGCAACTGCGGAAGGGGTAACTTACTAATCGTGGAATTAACCAAGCGCAACATGTCCATGAAACAGAATGGAGGTCAAAGTAAGATGAAGGGGATTTGTGTTAAATGATGATCTATATGTGCGATCTAAGAACAAGCGATCGATGCCCATCTGGGCCACAGTATCCCAGCTATTGTCTATTCAATGCGTTTGGTGAACAAGTACTGCATTGTTAGTCAAATAACTATCTAGCGAACAGAAGCGATCATCGGATGGTCAAGGTGGCATCCCCATTCAATCAGGGGCCATAGATACCACTTTTTTATTGGATAGCCTCGGAACGATATCCGTTTGCCAGCCTGACCCTGCGTCACCGGGAAACCAACTTTAACAGCTTTCAGCACCGCAACCTCGCAACACGCCATGGACTGGAAGAAAAGTGCATCAATTCCACAGTCGTGCTAAAAACACATACAGAAAAATCAAGAACATCTAGGAATACTGTTGTGGGTTATCAGTTAATGCGATTGGTGTACCAAGGTCCATAGCCAAGGCACCTCGATAAGTGGTCGGATCGTCCTCTATGAGGTAAATCAAATCAACCAGATAGAAGACAGCTCAAACAAGAACACCAACCCATCTCCATATCAGAACCTGTCAAAGTCCAGAAAAAGGGTTACAACATGAATCAGATATCATGTTTCCGTTTACTCAGCCTTCGCCGATGAACTACTTCCTTGACCTTCCCAGTATCGGTTGCTGACAAGGACAGATGTTTTGTCAGTGGAGGGTTTGAGTGAGCATGCGCTCCGGGCACATGCGTTGGCAAAGGTATATTTCCAGGGAAGACGGACGCTTTCTTCCGGAGTAGGTTTCGGCCTTGGTGATACATTGCTGCCGATTCGTGACTGTGGCCTTTGGTTAGTGGGAAGGGGTCAGGCTCGGGGTGGAGATCGTAGGGGTCAGTTCGGGGATATATATCTAGGGGTTGTTGGGGTAGTGCTTGCGCGGACTGAAGCAGAGCTGGCATGACAAGGCGTTTTGGAAGGTGATGATTGCGCGGTGGCTGTAAGCTATTTTGAGTGCGAGATATAGATTGCGTAGGTGTGGTGGTGCGCGTGAGCGAGCTGTCCAATGAGTGAGTTCTATGATGACGAGGAGGAAGGTTCGCCGGGTCGATCGCTTGACCATCAGGTGGTTCAACAATGAGCGGTGATGAAAAAGGCGTTGCCTGATTTGCATCTCCGCGAGCTTGTGACCGAGTTTCAAGATATCGTTCATTATGACCCGGCGGTAAACCGGGGGCAGAATGTATTTGATAGAGGGGATAAGGCGCGAGCTCATCATGAGCTGGCCGTTGTGGCATGTGAGGTATATCGTCACCAAAGCGATGGATCCGAGAAGCAGACTTGCTGGCGGGTGCACGTGACGATAAATGAGAAGGCGGCGCTTCGGGCGGATGGTGGTAAAGAGGAGAGTGGTCTCTGGCGTGACCGGGTTCTAACTGGTTTGAGTTTAGATTACGAAGATCTGGGTTCGGAATTACGATGTTGGCCTGAGTGGTATGCATAGGCGGCGATGTAATACCAGATGGAATAATTTGCCCAGGAACGAAAGTTAGAGACGGTCGACTGACTCCTGGACCAATTGGAGGCAATCTGGGGAGCTGCAGCAAAACATGTAAAGATAAAAGTGTCATGGTTCTCAGCTACCAAACATACTTTCTGGGTCCGCACCTGACGAGGGGCATTCTTTGCAAAGAGAATGTAAACAAAAATTGGAAAAGCTTGCATGTCTAACTTACCTCACGCTTAGAT